CAATTGCGAGGATCACGTCCACTTTCATCTCTTCATCTGCAGTCAATATATGATTTATATATTCCAAGTCATAATGAAGTTAATTTGCTCAACCTGCTATTGAACGTGATACAAATAGTAAAACTAAAATAAATTGTTTCTCACCGGTAGTAACTTATGCCGGGTGGACAAACGCTTTAAACTCCCCAGTCAAATTTTGTTGATTCCTAGCTGTTACCAATAAATTGAAATGTGAAATAGTTGGAGTTATGGAGTTATGAGTTCAATTTAGATTAGATATCTTATTCGTAAAGTAAAATCCAAACAAGTGACATATTGCAAAATTAGTCTGATATAATATCAGCCGCAATATTTTCTCTTTTAATTTTGCCGATGCAGATCAGGGACGCTAATTTTTATAGCAACACCAGTGTGAGAGTCCTTCTCATTATAACCTACTAAGTATTTGCAAAATTAGAATTAAAATGTAGGAAGAGTTACTACCTTTACTTTCTTGTCAGTAAGGATAAACAAAAATGATTCCTGAAGTTCTAAAAAGGTTGGATAATGTGGATTATGATTTATGCATTAATATTCACTAACATTATTGTTCGGGTCGGCTTCTGATCACTACAATAGACCCAGGCCGTATGGTTTCAAGGGAAAGTACAGAAAGTACGAAATCCGCGCCGAAACGATGGCTCTTTGCATGATGTTCTCACAGAAAACAAATTGGGCAGAAATTGACATCGGGTCTCGTCTTTTTTTTATTATTTGTATAATCCAATCATTTACAATGCTAAAGTTACTTGTATTTGGATCCCTCGATACTTACAGAACCTATCAGGAGTCCCAAAACAGAGCAGCTGTTGATCTCCCTTACTATATATAAGCCAATGTCAAGGAGTTTTCACGATCCCATTTATATTTAGCATTTTAGAGTACTTTACAGATGCAGAAAAAAAAAAGCAATTAAAATACTTTTCCTCCCTTCAGTCTTTTAGCAGGTGTGTTAAAGGGAGCCCGGCTATTGGAGACACACTCCTGGCACCAGTAATGCCACGAGAACGGGCCGGGAAATACAGTTATAACATCTTAACTCCAATAGGGCTCACAAAACCAAAATATCAGAAGCAATATCGACGCTAATATCTCTCTAGTTAGAGTTGTCGAGTGAGAAATCAGTATACAAACATCTTGGGCAACACAAGCCAAACCGGGCTGTTTAAATTACTCTAATACTCTTTTTGGCTCAGTCTGAACTAAGCTACTTGAAGGGAAGTTGTTTGAAAAAAATAATAATGAAAATAAGACATTTCTTACGGGAAGAATCGAAAGGATTCAAGGGCACTCAGTATCGATGTAAGGTTTGACATCCAAAAAAAGTGATTCACATCTGATTTTGCCATGCGTCCCTTTTGTTTAAAATATTATACCGTGAAATATTTTGATACATGAGGGCGCTTTCTGCAATAACAGCGTTCGTTCCCTTCTCTTGCGATAATTCAAGATGGCGTCACATGAAATCGCCGTGAACAGCCTGGAACACGTAAACCTTTGCAAACACTCGTAAATGAAACACTCATCTCCATCAGAACGTTTCCAACGGAGAAACCTATTAATAGTTCCACTTATTCCAGGGAATTTTTCATTGAAATGCCCGTATACTAGCCTGCGTCGCATACACCCTAAACCACCTCCAATAGTCTAGACCGACGCGTAGGCCGGCTGCAACACATGCTACAGGAAGATGGTGTTCTCCATTTACATCCCAACCGGAATATCGAGAATTTCTTGGAAAAGGAAAGCGCCCAATGGCAACTTTATGTGCGAGAACACTTTTCAAAGGATAGGTCTCTTTGGGAAAATAGAATCCTTGAGCAGATATGATGAAATGGAACGTTGGAGAAAGATCGCAATGGAAAAATGGTTCAATATTTGACATGATTTAGAATATTGAAATTTTTAAAAAATTTTCATAGTGGGAGTTAAAATTTCAGTATTTGACATGCTTGGAGAATATTAAGCAACAATATTCAAGTAACTTATCGACAATTATTGTTTTTTGTAAGATATCAGGCCATCTTTGTAATATCCGGACAAGGATGTTCTTCGTAATGATTTACGTATGCTCTTTCTTTCCGGCTATTACTAAGGTACGTAAAGGAAAAAGCTATTTGAAAGACCAAAAAAAGGTTTTTCTTACAGAAATAGACCACGAGAATATGCAACAACAACAACAACAATTATAATCTTTAATTTCTTAATCACGTTTTACAAGAAGTGCACTCAGTGATAAATTAATAGGCTATTATTAATAATTGTTTGCGATCCAAACAACTTTTACTTGAGAAACGACATGTGAAGTGTTACTTTTTCCTTTCTTCATGGTCTATTTTTATTACCGATGGAAAAGAATACAATTTCGGACATACGTGTTGGCCTCAGCACTTAGCTAAAGAGGCTTGAAGTGTAGGTTCTCAATTTAAACTTCATTAAATTTCGGAAGTTGTTATAAAACAGACGCTAATTTTGGGGGCCGTGGGTTGAGCATTTTTATTCTTAACGGAAGTCACCGTTTGATTTTTACAGTATCAACATACTTAAAAAATGTCGCTGCAAAGAACACCCCTTCGTAACAGACCCAGTGAAACCCTACCCAGTGGTTTAATTCAGTCTACCCAGCGATTATTTAGCCTCCCCGGTACCTGACAAATAATTTGTTTCTACCCGACTGATTTTTTGCTTTCCCGTTCACTTTCTACATTGCACAAGACTAGTGTATTTCGTTGTTCATATTTGTTTACAAGAAGCAAAAATATAAAGCATTTATTAACATTGACAAATTAAAAACAAAATACAGAGGGTACAGGTTATCAATCTCACATTAAAAAGAGCAAGCCGTTTAGTTCTTTTCGCTATAGAAATATGTACAAGCTGTTCAAAGTTTTCATGCCGGTAAAAATGTAAGGCCTGCCCCCCCCTTTTATGGGAAGAACACAACTAAACAACTAAGTTAAGAAAACCCAGAAGAAAATAAACCAACCCAGTGACGTTTTACTCGAGAGCCCAGTGAAGATATAGATTCCACTGGATCTGTTCCAGAGGGCTGTCAAAGATATAAAGGCGCAAGGAGGGGATCAAGGCTCAATGATGAAATGGCAAGCAACGACGAAGTGAAAGAAATTGCCAATGAATTTCAAGCAGAACCAACTTAAGCGGAAGATAAGAAAGGCTCATCCACCCGGGGACCCGGTGGCAAAATTAACTTTAACGAACGGTTGTCAGCGGTGAGTGTTTCTTTACGGAAAGTCTCCAGTTTAAGCGAGCATCTGACATCACTTTAGATAAAGGTAGAGGTTGCATTACAGATGCTAATCAGCAAAATAGAATGATTTTAAAAAGGAAGCAATTTTCATAAGCTGGAGCCACCTCAGATGAAGGCTCATCTGAGAGAGAATTTATAGCAGAAGCCACAGACTCCTGTACAGTGGCATCTGCTCACTGGTGTTTTCACCAGTGAGGACACTGACCCCGAGGCAGACTGCAGATACACGTGCACCATGAAGGGATCCAAAGACTGGATAACTGCTTCACATACTGCTTTAGGTATATCCTGGACCATGGTTGAACTGGGGTTGACTATGGATGGTGATTTCAAGGTGGGTGGGGATGATGTCGTGGCAGTTGGTGTGAAGCTGGATGTAGATTTGGAAGGTAAAGAGTCCTGTGCACACACGCCTGACGTGGGAAGCCAGAGGGCCCCAACCTACGTGCTGTCATTTTGGGACATAAAGGACGAGGCATTGTCCGATGCGAAAGCAAAATAAAGACAAAACAAAACAGGCAGCGTTCAAAGCAAGGCCAGACCCGATTACTAGAGGTGGCCTTAAGAGCGACTTTCTGTAAATACCACTGATAGGTGTGCAAGATGGAAAAATCGAAATCTCCCAGACTTTATCACATTAAAGCCCTTATGAGACTAGTTTAGAAAATACAAGATTCAGTTTCTTGTGATTGATATTTTCCAAAATAATAAGTTTTTTGAAATTTCACCTCCGAGAGGCCCTCAAACCACCGAAAAATGCGCTTCGCATCCTCGCTTTGTGAATTGAAACAGAAACAAATACCACGACTATTGCGATATAAGATGATTTTATGACCCTTCCTTTGTATGAAAACGTTGTTATAATTTCAAACGATCTCAGTCTGAATTTTTAATTATTTTTCAAAATCACCCTTTTAAACAGTTTTATCGCGACTATCAATTTTGCCATTTTTCAACGGCAAAAAACCCTTCCTGGTACATGGCTTTCGTTCTGCAAATGCTATTCCAGAGAAAGAGCAATCCTTCTTCTTTCAATTTATGAAATAAAATTTTGGGGCAATTCAAACGGCAAGTTTTGAGAACTGAAAACATTAACGGTACTTGCGTGAAATTTACAACTTTTGAACTTGCGTTTGTAATGACGAATACAAGAGTAAAGTTGGACCGCAGTTGCAGTTTTTACTAATAATGCGGCCTTTTCCCTTAGCTATTAAAAGAAGACTGGTTACTTTTTATTGTGTACTGTCTTTCCTTCAGTTTACGCCGAAAAGGAGCTTCCTTCTTTTTAGAAATATATTCCAGACGCGTCGATACATTTTTGTTTACTTTCTCATCGAGGAATGTAAATACCCGATCTCTGTCCTAATTCGTATTCAATCTACAAACTTATAACCGCTTCATAATTAATTATAACACAAACTAATACAGCCAATAAAACCAATAAGAAAGATTTTCTTCGTGTTTGAAAGATAAATGTTTGACTGAAGTAGTATTAAAATTGCCAATGTACGTTGGCACGTGCATTACGTCAGGAAGCGATGGCGCGCCATCGTGGCTCAGTGTACGACAATTTCATTTTCCACCGCGAACGTGAGAACATTATACAATGAAGTCTTAACGGATCTTCGCTTGTAGTTTCGCTTGATGTTTTATATTTCCATTCGTGTAAGTGAATAGTTAAAGTGAGTAGTTAATGGCTACCTGTAGTTATTCGAAACTCGTTGGAGGGGCCTGTGGTCCAAGTGTTTCCAATCCTGCAAATGTTGAGTGCGCTTTAATTGGAGAATGTGGTAAGGATATTCAAGGCCATCTGAAGCTCACAAATGTAAAGGACTCTACCTTGGATGAAGCAAGATTACTCTTGGCCAGAGCAGGTCAGTGTTTTCTTCTGCTGTAATTCTGTATCAGATTTGTGGCGCCAAAATATCGCGTAAAGTCGAAAACTGCTGGGGAGGGGGGGGTGGGTACTCATCAAAGTGTTGTACGAGGAGGCCCGACGTCTAATCCTTACCTTTTGATACGCCAATTTTGATAAAAATCTACCTCTGCGCTGCACCTCTCAAGGTAATACTAAATAAAACTAAATTAAACTTAATGACAGATTTCCTTAGCCGTTCACTACTTTCATCTTGAACTTGTGAGACCCCTACCCCCTAAAGCGTTTGAAAAGGGTACCCCTTTCGGGTGAAGCCTCCTCGCATAGAAAGCACCATAGAATACTGGGTGCTTTCGAAAAATTGTTCATCGCAACAATTCCCTGTAACTAGAGATGACGTGATGAGCGTAAAGTCCTTTACGTATAGGTACTGGCACACTCTTTCCCGACGAAAAGAACCGAAAGCATCTCACTTTTACACCGGCGTTATACAATAACGTTTTGATTGTCCAAAAAACTGCAAAACTAGTTTAGAAGTCAACCTAACAGCCCTGGGGACGAGGTTGGTTGAGATGTCGCTTACGAAGGGCCTAGGTGGGACAAATTTCCTGCCTCCCCTAGAGTCTCCCAGGGGCTTGGACCGGTGGCGGACAACCGAACATGGTGTCATGGGCTCCTGACATGACCAAGGTGACCAATTTGCACTGGGGAGCAAAATAATAATGTGCTCATATGATGTCAGAAACACACGCCGAAGCATCCAACAATACAATTGTACTCCGCATCATTGCCCGCTATGCTGTTGCGACAAATCCTAGGGATCTAGGACTAACTCTACGCCTAACCAAACTTTACACTGGGCCTAGCGAAGCGGTTAAGTAAACATATGAATATCTTTTGCAAGGTTGCTTTGAACTGGATGAGGTGCATTTGAACACAACGATATGTCCTCGTCACCGGGACCTTTGGGGAATAAGATGGCGTAACAACAAGAAGAACTGTTCTTGTCCAGACAAGTGGAAACAGCATGAAAAGAACCAGAAAGGAGATCGAGGGATAAACATGGCTCAGTCGAGAAACCTGTATATCCAGACGCAAATTATATTGCCCGTGGGTTCTCGTAAGTACTACTGCTATGATCCACGCGACGTTTATGCTGTAATAACCTGTCCAACAATTTTAAAGAAGAATCACTTTTTCATCGTGTTCTAATAACTGTTTTAAGACTGCTGATGCATGCCGTTAGTGCAATTGAATGGTTTCTTTTATTTCTTTTCTCACAAAATTCTTTGTTGTTTTTTTTTTTTAATTAATTGTCGAGGAGAAATTTGGAGTAGGCAATTCTAGACTATTATCTATACTGGTTACGGCTAAATAATGACAGACAGTTAATCTGTTTATTCCAATGTTAGCTATATGCAAACAATGTCGAAGAAGACTAAGCATTCAAAGGGAAGACGATGAGGTAACATTAACGGCGCCTAAATCCCAAGATGAAACACGTGGAGACAAGGATTGCGAAGAGCCAGAATCCACTTCCTCAAGTCCAGGAGAGCCGCGACTTGACGTTGTAAGTTAAATTATACCAGGGTCAAGTTGTGCGGTTAAAAGAACGATATATCTAGGCTAACAGTCGGTATATTATAGTTGCTTTTCAAATCTCGGGTGTGGAACTGAAGGGACCGGGAAGCTCAGAAAAAAAGCAAAAACAAAACAAAGCAAGAAAAAAGCAAAAAAACATTTGTAGCCTCAAACTAGCGGCACGAAAAAACAACTTTTAAATTTAACAATTTTTTTTTATCAAAGTGCGGACTTCTCTCCGGAAGAACGTGTTAGATGAGGACTGACTAGAAACTTACGAGATTTCAGATAAGGAGGAGTCGAGTAATATGTATGACGTTACAATTGGCCAAATTTATAAACGATCGGAAGACTGGGTACGAATGTGATTCAACACTTGTCAACTGATGGAGCATTTAAACATGAGTGCATTGATTAAATTTCATTGTTTTTGGAAAAGAAGGCTTCTAAAAATATGTAATTATAGAGACCTTTGACTAGATTAGGGACTTTTAATTTCCCTTTTGGCATTGGCTAAGCAATAAGGTGTCTTTTCATTAGCAGGCCGACCAACTGTCTCAATCAATGGGCCAACTCTTTATTGAGCAGGAAACAAGTCTTCATCTTCCAGAAGATACAGACAACAGTAGTGAGTCTTCCGGTGCCGAGGACCAACGTACAGTAGGAGCACAGAGAACAAAGTTAAATGAATTTTTAAGTGCCTGCAACGTTGGAAGTACTGTTGGCGTGTACAAGAAAAAATGGCAAGACACAAGTTTCCGCACTAGAAGAAGTCGCGTATCAAAAGCTAAAGAATCAATTGTAGCAGCTCTGAATGTGATTGCACCTGGTGATGCTGGTCCCTTATGGGAGGCGCTAAAGGAATCTAAGTCTGTGGAGAAAGCTTTGGGGATAGCAGAGGAGTCTCAGTCAGATAGGAAATATTTGGAGGCCTTGGCTGAAACGTACAACAACGCATCAAGCTGGGCGACGCGCCGTCAAATATTATCAGTCATGGCGGACCTTACTTCCTTAGAGAAAATTCAGGCCTACATACCCAGCATCACTGAATTCAAATTTGCCATAGCCAGGAAGCACAAAATAGAGTTCGGCCGAGGTGTTCCACTACCCCTGAAAAAAAGCCCAAGAATGCGTGTGGACACCATTCAACTGGACCATTTCATATCAGTCATTACAAGCCCCCACATCATTCAAGACCTCCCTTTTGGCCAGCGGTACTTACATCTTTCGACTGGTAAAGTTTTGGAGACACCCAATGTGATACGAAATATGATACCACAGCGTATTGTTAAGCAATACATGCAGTATTGCTATGAAACAAATTTCAAGCCATTTAGTCCATCGACCATTCTTCGCATTTTGTCTTGTTGTAGCGCAACGGTTAGGAAATCCTTGCAAGGACCGTTTAGGAGAGTACGGTCTTAGAAGAGACCTGGTGAGCCATTATCAAAAATCTCCTTAAGGAAGCAAAGCATTACTTGAAGGCTGAATATAAGGTATATCAGTTGTAATCAAAGTATGTGATTTGAAAAGGCTTGCCATATTGTGAAAGCGCGAGAGCATGGGCGACAGTCAGCAGTTTTTTGAAGTGGCTGTTCACAAGATCAAACAAGAGCCTGATATTAATGCACTCGCTTCTGCTTTTACGCTTTCAAATGACAATCTTTTTCGAATCAATTACTTATTATCAAGTTATAGTGCATTGTCTCAAAATATTTTTGCCATTTTTCCAGGCTCATGTTGCTGAATCTGTAACCATTGCGGACCACTGCAGTACGTATGCTTTGAGTGATAGTAAGGAGGATCCATTTAAAAGCACGTGCAATCATTCACATGACAAACGCTGAATGCAATGTGAGACCCTGAAGGACGTTCTAGAAAAAGTCGAAAATTGTTTTGTGGACTGCGAAGTGAGTCCAGAGGAATTGAACGATTTGACGTATTCTTGCCGACAAGCGGTAGACAGCATCAAAGGGTAGAAAGCACATCAGCTTCGAAGTTGCAGACAGGATGAGGCAAGAACATCCATTCTGAATACCCTTGATGAAAGGTCTGTTCACGTAACTCAGGACTGGGCCATGAAATTCCTCCCACAAAAATACCGAGAGTCGCAATCTGATTGGTTTGGTAAGCGGGGAATTTCGTGGCACATAAGTGTGGTTGCGCGCAAGATCAAGCAATGTTTTCAACACCAGGCATTTGTGCATGTTTTGGAGAACTGCAAGCAGGACAGCTACACTGTTGTGCGAATAATTGAACATACTTTACGGACCCTGAAACATGAGCATCCCGAATTGACAACTGCTTTTCTACGGCAAGACAACGCCGGCTGCTACCATTCTGCTGAAATGCTGGCAAGCTGTGCTCAAATGGAATCTAAAACTGGTATCGCAGTACGAAGGGTTGACTTCAGCGATCCCCAGGGAGGGAAAGGTCCTTGCGACAGAAAGGCGGCTACTGTCAAAGCCCATGTAAGGAAATACATCAACGAAGGTCATGATGTGTTGAATGCTAATGACTTCTTGAATGCCATGCTTTCAAATGGTGGAATACCAAATGTTAGAGCGGTTATTGCTGATGCCTATAGTACCGAAAGGGATGCTCAACTTTCACTGAAGTGGTCTGGCGTTAACTCTTTAAACAACTTTTTGTATTCTGAGAAAACTATTACTGTTTGGAAAGCGTACAATGTTGGCGAGGGAAAGAAGGTACCAGGTATGCAAAACAAATGGGGAAAAGTTTTTCATTTATTCTTCATATTTAACCGTAAATGTGGAGTACAAGGTTCTATGCTGCCGTCACGCTCGGCATGAAATTTTTTATAAGAAGAAGAAGAAAAAAAACAGTGACAAGAAAAAACACACTGGAATAAAAAAAACTCTTTTTCTTATTGAAGTTATACTCATGCTCCACACTCTAGTTTACCACCTATTACTTATCCTTTGCGCGAAATACCCCTAAACAACAACAACAACAACAACAATAATAAAAAAAACACTGTCCATTTGCGGGGCTGAATCTTGTGTAATGGTATTACATTTTCATTTTGGTTTTTTAGTTCCAGATTACTCACAGCCGCCCGGCTTTGAGTGCCAGTTTTCCTCAGGGGACTTCTCAGAGGTACCTCAGGCGGTCGATAAGCAAAAACCCAGTTTTCAAGAGACTGGTGAACAACATCCAGATGAGAAGGAAGAAGACCGAGAACTGAGCGCTATGTTTTCTTGTCCGCACGAGGGTTGCGTTAAGATGTATCAGCGTCACTATGCTTTGGAAAACCACTTGCTGTATGGGCAATGTGAGTTTCTACCGGTCAGAGATAGTCTTATGGATAAGGCCAAAGTATTATACCATGATAAACTACTCTGTGAGGCCAGCAACCTGCCATCCGTGAAAGCTGAGTCAAGTCAATGCCCGGTAACAACTGAGGTTCTTCCACAAGGGTGGGCTTTAAGATCCGCTAGAAAGGCAACACGGTTTAGTGATTCCCAGCGACAGTACTTAGACGGGAAATTTAACGTCGGGCAAGCAACAGGAGTGAAACTTGATCCTGTGGATGTTGCACGTGACATGCGTTACGCGCGAAACCAGGAAGGGGAAAAGCTGTTCACTGTAAGTGAATTTTTGACCGAACAGCAAATTCAGTCATACTTTTCAAGACGAGCCTCTAAACTCCGGCATTCTCATTCAGAAGATCCAGAATCTGATCAAGACGAGGATATTATGGCCGCTGAAGAGGAAATCGCGCACGAAAATGTTCGCGCAGTTGTGTTAGAGGAGGTGGGAATAAGGCACCCAATTGTTTTTGACACTTTTAACCTATGTGACATGCACAAGGCAGGTAAACTGCGACACCTAAGTGTTTCCATGTTGCGTTCCATTTGCGAACATTTTGACATCGAAGTGATGAACATCAAAGGACGACGCAAAGCTCCTTACTTGTCTCTACTTGGGGAACTTCTCGTGGCATGCAGTTGTCATAACAGTTAGGGTCTGTACCGACTAATCAAATTAACATTCCAGCCTCAACATTCTTTGATTTTACTTTCGACAGAAAAAAACTGATAAGTGGCGGGAAATCAGGCCTACGACTTTTATCAACTTTGTATATTCCTACTGCAGTATCGAACATTATGCCTGATGCCCCAGTTATGGTATGATGCTCAAAATTGTGCCTGCCAGGATCCCGTGCCGGAAAATTCCTCCAGATCCTTATTCCATCACTTATTTCTTCCCAGGCGTTCATTCATTTGTACAGGGTTAACCTCGATCAAAGGTAAATATATATATTCACAAATTCCAGTCAGAAGAAGACTTGTATACAACTGTTTCTATTGTTTTATACTGAAATTCCGGCACCTTCTAGCTGGTATTTGTGAATATTTTACTTTAGGCCGAGGCTAACCCTGTATAAATGAGTCTTCAGTGCTTCTATTCAGCGGCCGCGATTAATTCGAAACTGGACTATTTTGTGTCAGGCAATAAGTAACTACTGGGAGGGGGAGGGGCTGGGATTTGGGGATTTTTTTAAATTCCCAACAAGAGATCGGCTCCTGCTCCCAAGTTTATTATTATTATTATTATTATTATTGGAAAGCCTACACAGCTTTTTCTTAGCGATTATGGCTCAGAATGCATTGTCAATCAGAAGTACAGGGGAAAGTTTTGTCTGCCTTGGACCCAACCCCAATCCCCACCCCTTCTTACTTGTTCTAGTCAAAGAGAATGTCACGCAATCTAGTTTAGCTGCGGGACTTTGGTCTTTTTTCAAAAATATATACATTCGAGGTGAGTAAATGTTTGTCTTATTCTTCCGTCATTGCTTTTACGATTTCTTTCAGACGAAATGGGAACATTTTGATGCATACTTGTTATTTATAGAATATTGCGATAATGAGTGGCACAAGTCGTTATGCACTTATCAATTGAAACCCCGACCCCCACCCCGGGCCTATGTGGGGCAATGTGGGGGATTTTTATGGTATTTGAAGGGATGGTTAGCCCGTGGGGGTGGGGGATTTCTCAGGATTTGCTTAGCATATTCATGGCAGTCCATGGAAGTCCATGGAAGTCGGGGAGCGAGGTGGGGATTTGACTCGTGCCTAGTTTCCTCACGGTAATTTCTTCACGTGATCACTGGTATTTTGATGTATTGCTCGGCCGTACGTTTCCTAATTGTTTTTCCTTTCATTTCTTCACTGAGACTAATCCTTTGCGATTTTGCCTTGAGCTTTCAAGGTTCGTTGACTGGAAATTGTTATTGTTATTCAAAACGTCTCAAACAATGCAGATACAAACTCCTCTACTTATTATAAAAGGTGCTGTGTCACGGCTATCTGGTTCATTTTGTTAATATTGCCAGTTACGTGGTCCCTATTCGCTTTTGAGCGTTACGTTGCCAAAGAAATGAAGAAATCAAAGCTTCGTTTTAAACAGATGTTTCTCCCAAGCATTTCAAGCGTTACGGACGAAAACAATGAACTTTGAAAAACTGTTAGGTTAACAAGTTTTCAAAAACCAAAATTTCAATCCGTTTTAATCTTCTTCATGTTTTCCCATCTGTACCTTCTTTTGTATTTGCTGAGTCATTGATACCATCTTTTAATGTCTTAAGCGGTTATTTTTATGTTTCACTCAATTTGGTGGCAGTTCCCACAGCCTACATTTTGGTAAATTTCATGACACAGCTCGTTTAACGTCTAGTGTTAAACCCATGTGGTTTCTGAAGTTCTATATTTCCTCATTCTTTAAGCCAAAATATAAAATATAGCTCCTAGGAACTATTTTATGCAGTCTATTTATAGCATCAGCTTGTGAAGGTTAAGGTATGTTGGCTGCTATTTTCAATTAAACTTATCATTGCAGATATTACTTTCAATGGAGATGGTACGGATTTCCTTTTAATATAACTTTATAGCAATGTGCTACTCCATCATCCATTTTGTACCCTGACTTTTTTTATAAGTGGGTAGGGGTCATTATGTTTACTTATTGTCAAATATTTGTTGTATTTATATCTTGGTCTGTTATCATATTTGCCTTTTTGCTTTAGTAAATTTGTCAATATTAAGAAGTTGAAAATTCGAACGAAATATTAATAAAGTCAGTCAGGGAATTAAAAAGGTTTCCCCACCTGGGTGGGGGTTTTACCAGTCAATATGCCCCAGTAGGGTGGGAGTTTGCTAAGATTTGTAATGATGTCAAGTCAAATCCCCACCTTGGCCCGGGGTGGGGGGGGTCGGGGTTTCAATTGATAAGTGCATTAGGCTTCAAAGTAAACAAATACGCACGTACGGGAAGTGTTGTTTAAGATGTTTACAGCTCAATTTCGCACAATAAAAATGCTGTTCCTTTCGGATAATTGCCACTATGAAGTCAATAATCGTTTGTTTAGTTTTTGAACTGGTGGAAAAGGATCAAATTCGCGAAGAATTTAAACTGCTGTCCAACTTTACTCTTGTATTCGTCATTACAACCGCAAGTTCAAAAGTTGTAAATTTCACGCAAGTACCGTTAATGTTTTCAGTTCTCAAAACTTGCCGTTTGAATTGCCCCAAAATTTTATTTCATAAATTGAAAGAAGAAGGATTGCTCTTTCTCTGGAATTGCATTTGCAGAGCGAAAGCCATGTACCAGGAAGGGTTTTTTGCCGTTAAAAAATGGCAAAATTGATAGTCGCGATAAAACTGTTTAAGAGGGTGATTTTGAAAAATAATTAAAATTCAGACTGGAATCTTTTGAAATTATAACAACGTTTTCATACAAAGGAAGGGCCATAAAATCATCTTATATCGCAACAGTCATGATATTTGTTTCCGTTTCTATTCATCATGCGAGGATGCGAAGCGCATTTTTCGGTGGTTTGAGGGCCTCTCGGAGGTGAAAATTCAAAAAAATTATTATTCTGAAAAATATCAATCACAAGAAACTGAATCTTGTATTTTCTTAAATAGTTTCATAAGGGCTTTAATGTGACAAAGTTTGGGAGATTTAGATTTTTCCATCTTGCACACCTATCAGTGGTATTTACAGAAAGTCGCTCTTAAGAGGCCAAATACAAAAACAATACAGCAGCACATGACAACACAGACAAACAACGTATAAACAGCGGTGTAGCATGGCAGGGCAGAGAATACAACACAGTTTCGCCTTAGAGTGCTGACTGTAATAAAAAATATACTGTGCCTATACACAGGCCGGTGGCATCACGCCAGATGGGTGCCATGGAGTTATCATCATAGTCTCCAAAATAGAAAGAGCAACAACAATGTACGACAGAAATGTACGAAGCGGAGCTCTCGATAATATTCGTTATAGTTTGTTCAAAGAAAATATAAAATCGTGTAATGCTAAGCGGCGAAGGCAACGCCGGAGAACGGTGAAAAACAACAATAGGTCTAATTAGCAAAAAAACATTTTTGCACGTGCAGCACACTTTTTTTGCACACTTCTTTGCCTTTGTTTTGCACGACTACAACGTGAAACTTCCAGAAACTTCCTAGTTACACTTTTTATGGAGGAAATGTCGTACGTGTTCGCGTTCACTTTTTTTTCACTGCCGCTCATTTTCACCTTGCATTGTTGGCCGCTAGCATTTCTCATTTTTGTCACCGCCGCAACAACATTTTCATGTTGTTCTTCCAACAAAAAGTGTCTCCTTTGTTTTTATCTCTCGCTCTAGATCTCTGTCGTCCTTTTCTCGTTGAGCTTCGCTAGCTTGCCGCCTACTTTCTCTTTTTCTCTGTCTTTCTCTTGCTGTATATTCCAAATTTGTGGACATGACAATTAATCTAAGCCTAATACTTTAGAAAACACAGATACAGAGACAATTTCCCCTTTCCGTTTTTGTCTTCATTGACTCTTTAGTTGTCTCAGACGCGGGTGGCTATGCGATTTTCCGCCAAAATAACCTCGTGTTTGCATTTGGGTTGCCATACCTGTTGACCTGTTGATTGAGTTATTTTACATTGGTTTGCTTGTGGTGCGGACGGACGGACGGTCGGGCGGTCGGTCGGTGTACGCGCGAGAGCTCCGCTAAAATTTCTAACACGAATTGTGAAGGATGTTGTCAGTTATGGAATAATCCTGACAGCTGATATACTGACAATTTAAACACTGGCAAAATTTGATAAGATAAAGTTATCATATTAATAACCAATCGACTAATCTACATAGCTTAGCCTAATGTTGGTAACTAGACCAGATTATATATTAATTGAGGACGTAAATACGCCAAGTGTTGTTGTAATATGGTCAACAAAAAAATAAATACATCTTTGATGGGCCATTCACTATTATAGGGCCAACCCACATATTAAATTCGACAAATACAATACGTAACACACTATGCAATGAAAACATCGTCAGAAGTAAATCAGATACATGTAGACCAATTCTGAGGATCATATCGGCGATCATCTGGCCAGTGCTAGTGATACACTAACTCCGTCGAGCGTTGAAACAATCAACAGCGATGCAGCAGTGTGGTATTACAAAATTCTCCCTGAAATATCATCCAAAAAATCCTTTATTGACCGTTCAAAACGGACCGGAAACCTAGAAGCCACTTTGTATTGATTTAAGACAGGATCTTCTTTCTACGTCATTATCGGTTTCTATAGCTGAAGCGCAAAATTAAAATTGCGTGACGAACAGCTTTTCTCGTTTTCAAGCAGATGCAGAAGAACTGGACATTTTATTTTATCAAAATCTTAAAATAAGGCCGTAAGCTATCTTTTCGTAAAATTGCCGTTTTGGCCGGGTATAGAGTATCCCTTTAAACTGCTTAGTATATCAGGGGCACCCAACGAGAATATAGTTCAAAACCACATAAACATAGCATTGTTGAACGTACTTTAGTATTTAATCGGTAGATAAAGGCTTATTTTTATCCCCTAAAAATTTTTCATCTGTTCGGATTTCCTAGCTGAAAGTATAGTGATCCGAAAATTATAGGGATCAAAATTTACCTTTTCGAAAATTTCAGCCAG